CCTCTCTGAGCCACAGGATAGGCCTGCCAGCAAAGAATCACCGAGGTCAGCTGATGTGCCAGGATCAGGAGTCAAGAGCTAACCAAGTTGGGATTTCCGAACTTACCCTGCTGCAAACCCCTGACTCTTCATTCTGGGCCATGGCAAGCCTGGTCCAGGCCGACGCAGAGGATGGGGCAATGAAATGACCTCACTAAGCCATTTCCAGCTGGATTTATCCTTGTGAAAACACACAGAGAGGAAGCCTCTAATGCCCTGATTTCTCCTAGCCATGCTAGGGGAAGTGTCGCGGGTCATAAAACACGAGAATGTCTTTTCAATTGCAGCTATTATGTCAGCAAGAAATGAATATAACTTCCTGTTTGTGAACAGGATCGACAGAGCAGGTGGCTATGGAGAGAGAGAGGGAAGGCTAAGTGGATCATTAGTTAAAATACACTCACAGGGAGCTTTCTGGGGAAATGCCAGGAAATCTCAAAGACCAACTCACTGCTAACCCATTTACTTATATTCCCTGTTGATGCTTAGAGGCTTCCTGGCATGCCTTAGGATCTGAATTGGTCCAAAGGCTCCGATCCCAGGCCTTCTCCCTACCATTGACTGTCAGCACTTTCTTAAGGTCTCTAAACCCCAGTGACGAAGCCCAGCTTGTAGAGACTATAAAAAGGCTCACACATCAATACCCAGTGCAGAGCGCAGCAAGAAGGAACACTTGGCTGAGTGGCCATCTCCTCCTTCCCCCAGCCTTTCTTCTGCCCACTTTGCAAAGGTAGATTCAGTTAAGAAATGTGTGCATCAAAGGACACCGTCAGTTTGAACCAGGGGTCACTACTAGTCAACATAACACACACAAAAATCAATGAAAGATAAAAGGAAGATCATAGAACAGTGAGAATGGTGCAGCCTGTAAAGATGGGAGATGAATGCAGAAATTACCAATTCTTTCAAGGGTTAATAGATGCTGCAGGTCCTGGACACGACACTATCCCACTAAAAAGTATGTTCATGAGTGTGCACATTAACTTGTTTTCTGTTTTTTTGTTTTTGTTTATTTTTTCCTGACTCTCTTTTCTGACCAACCCCTTCAACTTTCAATAAACATTTCCAGAGCCCCAGCAATGTTCCACACAGACTTTAGTGGACTCTTTAGAGACTGTAGTACCCACAGGCCAAGACCACTCATCTCTAAGTCCTTAAAATGTTGTTGTTGTTGTTGTTGTTACATTTAATTATTTTGTTTGTGTGTACAAGTGTTTTGCCTGTATGTGTATATGTATACCATATACCAATATGTGTATATTTGGTGCTCCAGAAGATCAAAGACACTATCAGATCCCCTGAAACTGTAGCTACAGATGGTTGTGAGCCACCATATAGGTGCTGGGAACTGAACCTGGGTCATCTGTCAGAGCAGCATATGCTCTTAAGTGCTGAGCAATCTCCCCAGGCCTAAAAGATTTTAATCTAACCCAAAATACCACTCTCCCAGATTTTTGAGGTGTGAAATACTGGCCAAAGTCACTGATTCTGATCTTTGCCCCATTGTCCACTCCTGTCTACCTCTGTCTTCCTGAGGTCTGAGAATGCTAATTTTGCAGATTACATAATCCAGTAAAAACACGGGCACTTCCCTGGCCACTGGGGACAGAGTGGTAAGAGCAGGCCAGCCCTTCAGCCTAGCAACTTCTCCTAGAGGGAAAAACATTGTCATAAGAAATAGAACTGGATCCTGATTCTCAAGCCCATGGTTTGAGAAATCCTGTTAAGGGGAAATGCCCTATTCTTGAGGTGTGGCCTGGGTCAAGGGTCCATTTGAATTTGGAGACTAATGCAGCAGGTTTTTAGAGCTGTCATCTCAGTACCCCAGAAGTGATGGGAGACACCAGGCTAAGAGGACAAGAAAGATGTCTTATTGCCCTGGTGTTGCCAGCAGTTATCCGGAGAGCAAGCATTAGGGCAGCTTGGTTCTTGAACCTTTCCCCAAACAGGCTACTGTTCCACACCACCCCCTACACTTCATTTATGGCTGCACTCTGTAACAGTAGCTTCCACTCCATAACAGTCATTATTTAAAGTCAGTAAAGGAAAGGAAGATAGAGAGGCCCAGCTCATGTTTTCCCTGCAGGTTTTGGGAATGGTGTGATCTTCAATACCTTCCAGCAGGGCTCAGCCTCCATATCCAGTGGCAGTCTGGACCACTAAAATCCATGCATCCCAAACATATGAAAATAAGATGTGTGTCCAAGTAATAGAAACCCAACAGAGCCCTCAGGAGCCTGTGTGCATATCCCAGATGCCTGCTCACAGTCCTGGGATTCCTAATCAAGGAGGGATGCTCCAAAACTTACACTGGGCACCCATTCACACAACACAAGCAGGGTGAATGAGACAGTTTCTCAGCGGAGAAGAAAATGAAGCAAGAGAAATCCAACTAAGGCAGGTACACTTTTTGTTTACCGTGAGGAGATTCAATCAAGATCTCCCCAGTTCTCTTTGAGCATCCCACCGTGAGGAGATTCAATCAAGATCTCACCAGTTCTCTTTGAGCATCCCACTTCCCACTTTCTGCCTCGTCAAACAACCAATTCCTTTATCAACTCTGCCCATAGCAGGTCAGGCACCAGACAGACACTGAGACACTCCTGGGCATGCCTCTGCCCCTCAAGCCAGCCAACTGTGGATGTGGGAGAGTTTGTCCCAGCAATTGTTTAGGCTTTCCCCAAACCCTGGGTGAATATGCGTAGTGCCTTCCCTAGCAGGAAGCCTTGCCATTTTCCAGCTGTCCCCATGTACAATTGGGCCTCTTTGTTCTTGCACAAGTTGTTAGCATTGTCCAGTGTGGCTGTTTCCTCCTGCATCATCTGCCTAACATGTCAGGATCTTTAAGCATCTGTCCAGACCGGCTCCCACAGCTCCTCACAGCTGTGGACCTGTTTAGTGAACCTTGAGCTCACCCCACGGTCACCTTGCTGACCCTCTTGTCTTCTGCCTCAACACATCAGGAGCTTGTCCATAAGCTGTAAGAGACAGGATTTCAACCTTGAAATCCTGGAGTCACCTGACCAGGGTTAACATGCTACACCACTGCACATGAGGTGTAGAGCATTCAGTAAGTCCCACCGCCACTATGGGGATGTGAATGGCATCCATTATAGAGTGTTTCATGAGGCCGGAGGATGTGATGTCAGCACAAATGAGCAGCAACTGCACTCTTTGTACTTTTGTACCTCTTGATTCATGCACTGTGGTCAACTCCTAGAGCTGGAAATGCAAGGGCCATAGAAAGAAGTAAACAGTTACCAAGATCAGCGGGATACAGGATGTCAGGATAAGATGGGCATGTGGGGAAAGTGAGATGGCTCAGTGAGCAAAGGAGCTTGCTTTAGGGCCCTCAGGGGCAAAGCAAATAACAGACTAGTACAAGTTGTCCTCAGACCTCTACCCACACATTGCGCATGTATGCACCTACACAAGAATATATAAAATGCAATTTTTCAAAAATACAGAACTGTACCATGAAGAACACGAGGAACCACCAAAGGATTATGAGCATAGTAGGATCTTGCTCATAATAGAATCCCCTCTAGCTAGCCTTCTAGAGAAGAGCTAGAAAATAGAAGAAAGGAAGAAATCAAAGGCATGAAGATCTGCCAGAGGGTGTTAGGGGAGCCCAGGAAGCAGTAGGCCTGGACACCACCAAATCCTAGACACACTGGTGTACACACTCCTGTGTTGGAGCCTGTTCTCTTGCACTCATACAGCTATAACTCCTCAAGATCACACACACACACACATGCATGCACATACAGATTTTAAGTTGTAGGCACAGATCAGATGTCCATGGTATGGAAAATAAGCTGTTAGTGGAGGCTGTGTATCTACAAGATCCAAATCAGAGGACTGGCTTGTAAAGGTGCGCAAACATGGAAAGATATTATTATTAAGAAGTTGAGGGCCTGTCTTGCTCCTGGACCTTGTGCTCAGGCCTGTGAGTGATGAATGAGTCTTGCATTTTTTCACAGGTTCTTTGAACTGACTAGAACATTGTCTTATTTTATCTTCACCTCAATTCTGCAAATCATTTAGGTTTGGGGGTGTTAGTATCCCCAGTTTATGAATGGTACACTAAACTCAGAGAGAGAAAAGGTGTTTTTCACAAGATCCTAGCATTGGCAAAGGACAGAACCACAATCCAAATGCATGCCTATCTGATGCCAAGGCAGTTGCTTTGCCTCTGTCATAGGAAATCTGAAATGACTCATGAACTTGGATTGTGATAGTGGAAGAATTCTTCATGTGTTCTGTGGAAACAAGGAAGAATGGCAAGACTGGAAATGGGAATGTGGCCATTACCTCTTTGTCCGGGTCATTTCTTAAGACTTGGAAAGACAAATATTACATGTTTTCTTTCAATGTGGATCCTCAATTATATGCAGTCATTTATATAGAGAGATGGATATAGATGATACAGATATAGCTATAAAGGGGTGGATTTCATGATAGCAAAAGCAAGACTATCTGGGAAAAAGAAGAGCAGCTTCGGAGAAAGATGGAAGAAGAACAGAATGTAAGAGTGTGAATATGGTCAAAGTCCATGATATACATAAGAGAGAATGTCCTTATAAAGTCCTCCATGATGCACAATTAGTATATGCCAATACAAACAATAGTTCAAATCTTCAAAATAAAGTGGGAAAAACAAAGTAACTTTCACTGCTGGTTTACTACAAGCAATGACAGGATGCTGAGTTCTCCTAGGATACAGCAGGAAAGGCTCTCAAGCTAAGAGATAAAGATAAAAAGAGAGGGAGGACATTGTGGGGTCTCTAGAATAGGAATGCAGAGCTGAGATGCAAGATTCCCACCAACTGAGATATCCAATTCCACTTCCCTCCCAGGAGAGGACCAAGGCTTAGACAACAGCAGTCTTATGGGCATCTCTGTGTGTATTGAGGTCAGAAGGGCCATAAGGACTGAACTGTATCTTTCTTTTTCAACAGGCAATACCAGAACAGACACCTGAACCTTCACCACAGCCAGTATGTAAGTATTCATCTTTGATGCCTTTTCTTGTGTGGAATAAAAATATTTCTGATAGTTTTAGGATGTAGACAGCTGGAAGTGGGTCTTTAATTGCCACATTGCTAAGCCTAGGGATGCAGACAGACTTAAAGAATAGTGAGGCTCCTCACTCATCATTAGGAAGGCAAAACCATGCTCTGACTGCATGTATGGTCTGTGGCCTAAGTCCAAATTCCCAGCTCATGGATATGCTGTACAATGAGGCCTTCAGACAGATCACTCCAGTCATCTACAATCATTCGCCTCTGATATGGTTATCCTTTCTGGCAAGGCAAGAGTAGGTGAGATTGGTCAACTTCAATCAAAGAATGAGATCAGGTCCCAAAACAGCAAAAGTACACAATAGATTTTGCTGTTTATAATCTTTATCACTATAGAACCTATAGTATACTATAGAACCTATAGTATAGAATATGCTTAAACTTAATATAAAAGCCAACATGACATTATAAGGTCCTTCTCAAAAACTAATGAGAAAAGGGCCCAGAAAGGGAAAAGGCTCTGCCAAGGTCATGGAGCAACAGAGTGGATCCTTCTCGCTCCCCATCCCTTCTCTGTTGAATTTTCCATACTCTTCAGTGGACATAGTAAGAGAACCACAAAGAATATGAAAAGTCAACTGGCCCTCACAGAACAGCCTGAGAGAAAAAGCAATGAGCCATAGTTTATTAGGCCCTGACTAGGAGCTGGGAACCATGTGAACACAACATTCAAGGTAGAAATTGCTGTGCCCATCTCAGAGATAGGAGAATAGAGTCCAGGCTAGGCAACTTGCCCAAAGTCTTTTGCACTCAAGACTCTTACTCCTGAGTCTCCCATGTCCCCAGTGGTGCATCCTACAGATACCATATCACATGCCAATCCAAGGCCCACAAGACATGAAGCTGAACTTCATGGTTCGGATGAATGGATCAGATTGATGTTCCTCTCCCATCACAGGTGCTGTCTTCGCTCTGTTAGCCATTACTCAAAACATATTTCTCCTTTTTTTACAGACACACCTTCCAGAGCCAAGCCAAGGGCACACCTGACAAGTAAGACTTCCTGTTCTTATTTGAACACTGTGGGTCATAGACTTGAGATTTCTTTCATTGTATTTACCAAAACTTGTTGTGGTGGCTTCCAACTGGCAACAAAATTGACAATCGAGGATGTTGAGCAGCTTCTTCCCTGTGACAAATCTAAGGCTCCATGTCTCTCGGATGCTGGCTCCTCTTCAGTCAACCTTCTACCTGTCTCTCCTGCTTTTCTATGGCATACACACACCCAGCCATCCAGAAGTAGTTTCCCTCTATTTTGGGTCCTCAAGTAATTCTGGATCTCATAACAGATGAAAGATCTCTGGATTGACTTTGAAGGGGCTGGGGAGATAGCTTGGTGAGTGTGATGCTGTTGTTTATGAACCTGGGTTCAGATCCCAGCACTCATGTAAAAAGCCAGGTATGGTGGTTTGTACCTGTAATGCTGGTGCTGGAGCGCAGTCAGTCAGATCCCAGAAGTTCACTGGACAGCCCGGCTGGCTAAGCTCCATGTTCTGTGAGACCTATCTCAGAAATTAAGGTGGAAAGCAATAAAGGTCGACACCCGGTGTCAACTTCTGGTTTTCACAGGTGGACACACAATTGAACATGCAACACACACACACACACACACACACACACACACACACAAGCACACAACATATACACACATAAAAAAAAACATTAGGGAAACTCAGGCTCAGACAGTGACTTTGCTCCTAGTTGTACAGGCAGTGGAAGAGTTCAAAGTCAAGTTTGCCTTTCTGAACTGTGATTTCCACTACAACATGCTTCCTATCCCAACTCTGCTGCTGAGCTAACACAGCTTATTGCATTCAGTGCTATAGGGCTTGCCTCTCTGGAGACATAATAAGATTGGTTTATGCATCATCTGAGAAGACATGTCAATCACTGCATCATCCACAGTGAAGGGGCAGAGACCACCAGATGTGACTGACAAAGACGTCTATATGGAGGCTCCAGAGCTTCCCAAGAGCCACTTAATGTAGAGACTAGAGGAGTCCACATCCATTCAGGGCATGCACTAAGCTTTCAAGAGAAACCCTAGTCCAGTCAACAATGGGAAAGATACCTTAGAAGGTCCAGGGTCTCGATGATTTCTGGTCACCCACTGGTTGTACAGGTTGTTAAATTGTTCCTTAAAACAGAAGCTATCCCCAAACTGTAGTGTCAGTACATAATGGTGATTGCTGTGAGTCTCCAAAGCAGTGAGAGGGAGTTAAGATGTTTTTGTTGCCTCTAACAGTGATAGTTTTGTTGGGAATTATCCTATTTGACATCAGTGATTTGAAACAAGTTTGGTTCTATTCATTTCCTTTAACTACAGATATATTTCATAAAGCATCAGCTAATATGTTTTATATAATGTAGATTTAGGAGTGAGGCAAGTGTACGAACATATAAAATATATTAAATGACACAGGCTTACTCTTTAATCTGTCCAAATGAAACATGGTGCTTTATTTGAACAGAAAGATATGAGCCCACCTGTACCCAGCTTATTGTAATCTATAAAATGCCCGCATTTGTTCAGTCCTCTTAATCTTCAGAACAAGGCTCTGAAGAGCCTATCCTCAGCCTCCAGAGGAGACACTGAGGTGCAGAAGAGAAACCCAACATGCACAGTTGATTAAAAAGCTTTGCATGGTGCAGAATCAGAGTTGGTACTGGTCCCAAATGGCCCAAAGCCCAGCTTCCTTCCATTCCACAAGTCTATTTGCATTGACTTATATTTGGCCCTGTCACTATGGGAGAAGAATTGCCAAAATGTTCTGAGTCTCTGGTCCCAGCATGTCCTCGGGTGATTCATTATTGATTACTGCCTGTTTTGTGACATTGGACCACAGCATTGTGATGTAATGACAAGGTTCCCCCACTCTCTCTGCCTCTCCCTCTCCCTCCTCCTCTCCCCCTCCCCCTTTCCCCTCTCCTTCTCTCCCTGTTTCTTTCCTCTCCCTCCCTCCTTCTCTTCTTCACTCCTTCACTCACTCACTCCTCTCATTTCCTCCCTCCTTCCATCCCTCCTTCTCTCCTTCTCTCCCTCCCTCCCTCCCTCTCTTTGGAACAGATCTTTTTGAAATAAGAATGCTAGTAAAGATGAGAGTGTTCTGCAATAGCCATGATTTTATACCTCCTTTACTCCTCCTCACAAGTGCTATTTATCTTTCTTTAAAGGAAAGACATGCCAAATAGAAACAAACACAGATTTAGTAAGATGACACATGTGTGAAAGGAATTTTTCTAGCGGAAAGAGGAAGGAGAGGAGCGTACAGTCATATATTCTGTGTTGGTGGGCAATTGTTTCCAGGATCTCCGGCAGACAGTCCAGTCTTCAGATGCTGAAGTTCCTTATAGAAAAATGATACAGCATTGACAAAATCTACACAGCTCCTCCCCATGAGTGTCAACTGCTTCTGGCTGGCTTTTAATACCTAATACAACGTAAACAGTTTTACTGTGTTGTTTAGGGAAATGTGAAAAGAAAAGAGCCTGCGTGTTCAGTAGATGCCATTTCCCCCCAATGTTTTTGTATCCTGAATTGGGGTGAATGATCAGGTGCAGAACTGTGGATGGGGAGGATGTTGGTATAATAATGGAAATACTACATTTGGGAGCAGGCTTTGACGTAAAGCCTGTCCATTTCTCCACTTAAGGTAAAGGCTTTTTCCTTGTGTAGAATAAATGGGAAACGCTGGAATGAACTTTCCTAGGCATGGGAAAGGATAAGGAGTTGTCAGGGCTAATCAGAAAATGTCTTAGCCCAAAGTCAGCCTTGTCTTCCAGACACTGGGTGCTAGTCAGGCTAAGGGTGAGGGAAAGCTGCGGACCTGGAAGAACAAGCGATTCTGCATGTATCTTTTTCCAATTGGGCAGTGAGGGTAGCAGTGCGGACTCATCATCCATGGGTCCAGGAATGAGGACTGGGATGGCCTGGTGTCAGGACTTGTCCCAGGTAAGCAAGCTGTTAGCAGTAAATTCTTTTCAGGTACACAGAAGAAGGAAGGGATTTTTTTAACTGTGTCCATATAAAACAGCAATTTATAAATAAGAAAAAAGTTTATACTGAGCCAAAGATGAATGACCACACCCAGGACACAAACTTAAATTATCAGGAATGCCACAGCTCTGACTGTGAAAGAAATTGCATGAGCTCATGGAGTCAGCAAGGGAAGTGAATTCAGGTAGCAGAGGCTAGGCTGGAAAGATGGCTCTGTCTGTATGTGCCTGCTGTTCAGGCATGAGGACTTAAGCTTGGCTCCCCAGCACCTACCAAAAATCTCAGCACAGCCACGCGTGCCGGTGCCCCTAACACTGGAGTGACAGAGACAGGTGGGTCCCCACAACAGTCTAGCCAGCCAATCTACTCAAATTGGTTCAGGTTCAGTGAAAAACCCTGTCTCGAAAAAAGGGGTGAAGAACAACTGAAGAGGACACCCCACTTCTACTTCTGGCCTCCACACGCACATGCATGAGACACAACTCAAACACAAGGGCACCACACACACACACACACACACACACACACACACACATACACACACACA